GCGCCTCTGCGTGGGGGGGCTCTGGTGAGTAAAGGCGGGTTGGAGGCACACGTGTGTGTGTCCTGTGCAGGGGGGGCCCTGTGAGCACCCTGTGAGCACCCTGCCCACTGCCCCATCACCACACCGCTGACCCTCTCCAGGGGATGCTGCTGCACTGGCACAGGTGGCAACCTGTGGCAGGGGTTTGGAACTGGATGAGCTTTAAGTCTCCTTCCAACCCAAAGCATTCTGTGATCCCCTACCCTGCCCACAGAGGAGAGAAGTATCAAAGCAGTGAAGGCAGCACCTCTCTGCTCCTCTTTCTGTTCTAGTACATCGAAGCCATCAGCAACAAGCAAGGTGAGCTGGAAAACTACGTCTCTGATGGCTACAAGACAGCTCTCACGGAAGAGAGGAGACGGTTCTGCTTCCTGGTGGAAAAACAGTGTGCAGTAGCCAAGAGCGCGATCACCTACCATGCCAAGGTGAGTCAGTCCCACTGGAGATGCCAGTCTGGTGCTGTGCTCCTGCGGCTGCTGGGCTGCAGGTCCCAGATGGATGCTCCTGTTGCCTATAGAGCTGTTGCCTATAGAACAGGCTGTGATATCCTGAAAGCTGCAGCTGGTGCAACCCCTGCAGCTCAGGGGACAGAAGGGGAGGAATATACCAGTGGGTGACTCATGAATAAGGTGCTCTGGAGACACGTGTGCTCTCAACTGGGACATGCAGGACTGCGCCCTGAGCTGCCCTTCCTCATCAGAGCAAAGGGGCTGCTCTGCATCTCAAAAGCAGCTTCTGGCTGCAGGAGATGGATGAGACTGACACTGGTTTGCTCATGGGTTCGTGGCACCGCATCCTGCCGCTTGGCTCACCCCAGCAGTGCTGGTCCCTCTGTGGTGCAACGTCACCTACGCAGGAGAAGCTGTGGTAGGTGAATAGGGCTGAGTTCACCCCTTCTGCATGTTGTGGCCACTGAGGTGTGAGGGTTCTGTCCTGGCAGAGGCTTGTCAGGTTTCTCCTACGTCAGCTCATTGTTCCAAACAGGGGGGTTGGAACTAGATGATCTTTAAGGTCTCTTCAAATCCAAACCATTCTGTGATTCTGTGACTTGTAAAAGCAGAAGAAATGTAAAGCAGCAACATTCCCGCTTGGAATCAGGCAGTGCTCCCTGCCTGCTCCACCTGCTCCTCACCCCCGGCCTTACTAAGGTGGGGATTAAACCAGAGCTCACACTGCTCCAAACCCCCTCCTGCCTGTTCCTGGCGTCCCACATCTCCTGGGCCAGGGTCTGGAGCTGCTGCCAGCCAGCCTGGGGAGCAGTGGCTCCCTGCACTGATCCGGAGCAGAATCCATGTGGATGAGGGCTGGGAACGCCAGCGCTGCTCCTGCAGCCTCGTGGTCCCGTTGTTCTGGTTGTTCCCCACCGCCACCCCCCGTTGCTCACAGCATCCATCTGTCAGCGCCGCGCTTGGCACCGCGGAGCAGGAGTTTGGATTAGTCAGCGCTCTCCTCGCGCTGCGCCACGGGCTGGATCCAGGCTTGGCATATGTGAACCCCTCCTGTGGAGCAGGAGGGGGGAACATTCCCCCTGGGAATGGGGGGATCAGCAGGCACGAGGGTGCCGGCAGCCGCAGCGT